CTTCACGTGATCTTAATTCTATCGCTCCATTAATGCAGCCTAGGATTGTATTGATTATTTCGACTGTTGCCACTCACTGCTGGCTCACATTTAAGTGATTGTCCACTAGGACTCTCACAGGTTTCACCTAGTTTGTACTTATACAATTGTTTTTTCTTGTGTAAGTGTTAAACTTTATTTTTTATCTCTGCTGAATATCATTTTTTTTAAATAGGGCCCACTGTTCAAGCCTGTCAAGTCATTTTCGATCTTCATCTTGTCTTCTGGAGTGTTGGCAATTCTTCTTGTCTGCAAATTTGATAAGTTCCCCTTCTGTTCTCTTGCCTAGATAGTTTATGAAGATTTAGATCAGTGCTGGGTCTAAAAGGCAATCTTGGGGTACCCCACTGCTTACTTCCCTCCATGTGGGTGTAGTTCCAGTCAAAATAACCAATACAGTCCTAGGCTGCATTAATAGAGGGATAGAACTAAGATCATGTGAAGTTATACTACCGTTTTACCAAGCCTTAGTAAAACCACAGTTGGAATACGGTATGCATTGAGGACTACATGTTGAGTACAATTTGTCAGCCAGTTAGGAATCCATATTGTGGTGCTGCTGTCTATCCCACATTTTTCTAGCTTTCCAAGAAGTAGCTTGTGATTGTAAGGTTTGTTTAGCATGATCTGTTTTTGATGAACCCACACTGGCTACTGGTTATAACTTTTGTTTGACTCTGCCTGCTAAGGCAGGGATCCCCAACCTTTTCGACGCCGCGGCCCGGTTCCGGCGTCAGCTGGGCGCCGTGGCCCGGTTCCGGCGTCAGCTGACATCACCGGAAGTGATTTTTCGTCAAAAAAAATGGCGGCGCCCAGCAACCAGCGGCCCGGTAAGGCTTGTTCCGCGGCCCGGTACCGGTCCGCGGACCGGCGGTTGGGGACCCCTGTGCTAAGGAACTTCCGCAACATAACCTGGCATAACCTGGCAAAGGTTCCCGCTTCCTCTCTAGGTGCAAGAGGAAATGTTGCTGAAGCCACTGCGGGGAGGGGGGCAACTGGGGTGCTGCTGGACAACACCAAAGTCCCCCATCTGGGTCCCACAAGAGAAGCTCACCCATATCATCCACAAGAAAAGCCAAGGGATGAAAAGCAAGCACCCAGATTTTTTTTAAAAAAGAGACACTAAAAATCACTGCAATAGAAAAAGAAACTTGCATGCGCTAATCCACAGCTGCAATAGGTACAAATTAGGATTGCATTGATCTTGCGGGGGGAGGGGGTGGCGAAGCAGACCTGCAGATGTCATTGCACTACAAGACCCACCATCCTTCCCCCATTCAATTCCTGGCTGGAGATGCTGCCTTTTCATCAATATCTAACCTTATACAGTATGTCAGGAGTCGTCTGGTAGAGCCTTTTCTAACCCATTGTATCAAAAGGCGCAGCTCCTGCAATCCTTTTAAACAAAATTTCTTAGTCTGGAAAGGAGCAATTCGATGTCTTCTGAGGTTTGGCCACTGTAGACTTACAGGGTCCCTTCACAATCCTATGGAGAATGCCTTGTGCTGAGTAGGAGGACCCATTTCCTAGCTTCCTCCTCCCATTTCAAGGGTTTTCATTTTTCAACATGTTGTTCTGCCCAAAAAAAAAGCCAATTTCCCTTTTTTTACTGGTAGAATTATGTATCATCAAAGATATCTGTAAATCCTGGAGAGAGATTATACATATTGTCAGGCTCTGGGAGTTCAACCATGCATGCTGCCTAACCCGGAGTTTGAGACATCAGCGGGACTAGCCTGGGGTGTCGGGTGTATAGCTGCTGTAGCCGCTGTTCCTGATGACAACGCTCCTACCAGCCTCCTGGTCAGCTGCGATAAAATTGTGAGTCACGTAGCCCAGAATGCTTTAACTAGCCTCCCAGACGCAGCGTGTCAGTCATGAACAACATGAACATCGAGGAGGAACAGACCAGGACATGCAAGAGGGGAGCTGCATGTTGGGGACACAGGACGGAACAAGATGGAACTGAAAGGGTGGTGGTGGTGGTTGGGAGACGAGGCACAAAGGGAAACACTAGTGTAGGGCCAGGTGTCAAGAATCAGGCACGGGGTGGAGGCGGAGGGAATGTTAGATTCCTCAGCAGATGTTAGGCTAGCTGGAACAGCTGGGAGGGGCTGGAGACGGTATAATAAGTGCTGACAGGCTGCCGCTCTCGGCGCTAACTTTGTTCAGGTTCTCCATTCTTGCTGCTCAGGACTGGAATGCTGCAATAAGAATTATCATGAAGCCTGTGAGTAACATTTTTTTCTTCAAGTACTTCTCCAGTACCCAGACGAGGCTGAGAATATACACATATATGTTGTGCCTCCGAGGTTTGAACCTGGTTCGTCAGCAGATGTAGGCTCGAGTGATGAAGAAGATCTGGCATTAAGATTCGAGCCTGCATTATTGAGCGACGTTGAGAGGAGTCTGGGGGAGGAGGAGGAGTTAAATCTGAGAGATGAGCCTGATTTATTAGAAGTTTCAGAGGCGTCTTCCTCTTCTGGAACTCCCTCCCTGATTGCACCTCAGGTGTTAACTGTTAATCAGGAAAATGTGCCAGAGGCTTCAAGCGATGATGAAACTGCCGGATGCTGGTTTGATGCTAGGACGAGAAGATTGAGACGTCAATCTCAATTAGAAAAGAGACGTCAAGCCAATGATTAATTAAAGAGACTGACACGCCCCTTCAGGGGATATATAAGGAGCGTGTTAACGCCTCTCCCCCGCTTGAAGGAAAGTGCATTTTTGGTGTGAAAGAATTGCGTATGGCTGCGGCGTTGTGATTTATGGACAGTCCAGACTTGCCAGATGGATTCCGGGAAGACTGCCAAGAACTGTGAAAACAAGGCAGTTAACTCTTTTGGGTCTGGTTTTGCTTGCTTGAATATTTGAACTTGGGATTCTCACCTGTGGATACAGGTGAGACAGAACACATATATGTGGATACTGTTGGAAGAAAAATCTGGTCTGGTTCCAAGCTGGGAGAAGGACGCTGGAAATAAAATGGAGGCTGACTGAAAAGAAGGATTACGTTTACTGATGAGAAGAACCAAAAACAGCATGAAGTTCTGGGAAAGCTGACAAAATGGCTGAATGTGTAGATGGGTCTTTATAGATTTCTGTGACTTTTGAAGTATGAACTGTTCTCAGGATTGTGCAATGAAAGGGGTTTTTGTGTCTTTTGCTTTTTCAATGGTGGTGAGTTAATCCTATTATGTGCTAAAAGGTCACCCTCCTGTTCTTAGAATTTGAGTGGGGCAATGCACATTTTAATCCCATCAACTGGAGCTGAAGGTGTTTTGTTTGTGAATAGGCTGGCCTGGATTTCCTAATGGTCACAAAACATCCATCTCTAAAGACTTCAGGCATCTGCTGGAAGCTGTTGGGCTGCTTTCTGCCTTTGTTAAGATTTTTTTTTCTCCATTTCTCCTTTGGGGAAATATAATATTCTGCCTTTTAATATCCCCAAAAATATTTCATTATCTGGGGGGATGGGGAATGTTTGTGATTACTACTTACAGTACACTCACACCTTTTGATCTAACTTTAGAGCAAGGGGGGATGTTAATTGATGAAATGATCTCAAGAACCTCAGCAAGATTTAAAGGATCAGGTTTCCCCACGGATGTCGACTGAAGGCTTTTAAGAAGAAACTGGACAGTCTCTTGTCTGAAATGGAATAGGGTCTCCTACATTGATCAGGGGTGTTGGAGTAGAAAACCTCTAAAGCCCCTTCCAACTCTCATAGTTTATGTAAATACAGGTAGTCCTCTACTAACAACCACAATTGCGCCCAAAATTTCACTGTTGCTAAGTGAGACACCTGTTAAGTGAGTCTTGCACCATTTTACAACTTTTCTTGCCACCGTTGTTAAGTGAATGATTGCAACGTCACATGGTTGTTAAGCTAATCTGGCTTCCCTGTTGACTTTGCTGAAAGTCACAAAAGAGGATCCCATGACTCTGGGACACTGCAACCGTCATAAATATGGTGTTCAGGGTTCCAAGTAACAGACCCGATGCAATCAAAACTCCAAGGCCAAGGTGTTCCTCAAAATCCAAATTTATTAGCCAATGTCATATTGGCACCACTAGTGAAAACCCGACTCTGAAGGTCCTGAATTTTCCCCACCCAAATTAAAAATCAAAGTTCCTTCTCCCAGTCCACATGTCCATCACATGGTCCAACCAGGTCACAGTCCCAATTCCAGTTGGTATCATTCCATGCCCCCCCCCAGCACCTGGTGAGAATGTCCTTGGTTCCCAGGAGAAAGAACTTTATTTGGACAACAGATCCCCAGCAATCTCTATTCACCCATCCCATTCCCACAGCTCCAACCAGCCTTTCTGTGGCAGCTCAGAAGACGCTCCAAAATGGCTCCAGGGTTGACATATGGGTGTTTTGAAGGCTGAGTAATAAGCAGTATGCGAGAGCTGTCTATAAAACTGAACATACCAAAGGGTGCACAATAGCTATTATTTAAAAAAAAATCCTAGGTTAAGGATTCTTCCAGAATAATAAATGGATGGTGAACCACAGTGAAATCCTATGTTTGTTTTCTAGATATAGAAGTTTAGAAAAAACTCTCACAGAAGACAGCAGTGGCATAAGAGTTCCATATTGTTTCCAAGAAAAGTACATGTCCATAAAATCACAACATGTCAACCCTACTATGAAGGAGAACCAGCTTTAAAGGATGCACCACCAATGGAATGAAATCTGGGGAGTGAAGGAATATGTAGCAACTGAAATGTTTCAATCTAATTGCTTCTTATAGCTTTTGAACCCCTGCAGGGCAGAACAGATTTTCCATCTGAAATTTTATACTGCTTTTGTCACTGCCCCAACTTTCCCCAATATATTTGCTATTCATATGGTTTCTTACACTTGCATGCCTCATTCTTGACACAATCTGAACAGACATGCTTGGTGCACTGAATTTCTGGAACTGTTAAGAATAGATGAACTTTGAAACCATCTACTTCTCTTCTTCTCTCACTTTCTCTTTGTATGAGGTGCCACAATCTCTAACTATAGTCTGAGTGCTTCTATCCCCAAGCGATGCTGCCTGGAGAATTCTGGGGCTGAAAATCTTTGGGGCACCCAGGGGAAAAATGGCTGGGGCTCATGGCATGTAGCATTTCTATCATCTACCATCACAAAAAATGCAAAGAACACTCCCCAAAGGATTTTTACATAATTTCCCAAATTCTACAAAGATAAATATCCAGGAACTTTTTACACTGAAGGCCAGATAGCCATTATCAAAGTAATATGTTCCAATCTTTTCTTTCCTCTTCCCCATCTTATACCATTACAAATTCTGTGTAGTCAAATTAAACAGTCAATTTCTCAGCTGGACTTACAATGGGACATTAGAAATGAAATTCAAGCCGACTCTACACTTCTCACTTGAGGCCTTATGTGGATTTTCCTGTGTGCAATAAGGGTGGAATGTTGCCTGAAGCACCGTCCACACTCAGGGCACTTAAATGGTTTCTCCCCTGTGTGTATAAGGACATGATTCATAAGACTCATCCTAATACTGAGATCTTTCCCACAAACAGGACATTCAAAGGGTTTCTCTCCTGTGTGAGTCCTCTGGTGTTGAACCAAGCTAGAATTGTGACTGAAACTTTTCCCACAGTCAGGGCACTGAAAGGGTTTCTCTCCTGCGTGAGTCCTCTGGTGCTGAACCAAGCTGGAATTGTGACTGAAACTTTTCCCACAGTCAGGACACTGAAAGGGTTTCTCTCCTGTGTGAGTCCTCTGGTGTTGAATCAAGCTGGAATTGCGAATGAAACTTTTCCCACAGTCAGGACACTCAAAGGGTTTCTCTCCTGTGTGAATCCTCTGGTGTTGAACCAAGGTAGAATTTTGACGGAAACTTTTCCCACAGTCAGGACATTTAAATGGTTTCTCTCCTGTGTGGATTCGCTGGTGTTGAACCACGTTAGAATTATGACTGAAACTTTTCCCACAGTCACGGCATTTCAAGGATTTCTCTCCTGTATGAATCCTCTGGTGTTGAACCAAGCTGGAATTATGACTGAAACTTTTCCCACAGTCAGGGCACTGAAAGGGTTTTTCTCCTGTGTGAGTCCTCTGGTGTTGAACCAGGCCAGAATTGGTACTGAAGCTTTTCTCACAGTCAGGACACTGAAAGGGTTTCTCTCCTGTGTGGATTCGCTGGTGTTGAACCAAGCTGGAATTGTGACTGAAATTTTTTCCACAGTCTGGACATTCAAAGGGTTTCTCTCCTGTGTGTATCCTCTGGTGTTTCACCAGGCTGGAATTCTGACTGAAACTTTTACCACAGTCAGGACACTGAAAGGGTTTTTCTCCTGTGTGAGTCCTCTGGTGTTTCACCAGACAGGAATTCTGACTGAAACTTTTCCCACAATCAGGACACTCAAA